TGGGTACTCAGGTGGGACACCAGCCTCACGCGCAGTGGGTCCGATGTGTCCAGGCCCTCCACCGAGGTCAAGTACCTGGCGACTTCAGTCAAGCACTCCCGGAAACCAATGCTCATGAAGTCCATGGCCAGCGAATGAGCATCAAAATAACCTGCAAGGGGAGCGCAAAAGAGATGCTGAGCAGGGAGCCAACCTCTTGGTCAACACAGGGTGGCACCTGGCTGAGGTGACCTTCGCCTGCCAGCTGCCGCATCTTCTACGTGGGGGTTAAAATTTGCAACGGGAAAAGCTTGCCGTCCGATCTGTAAATGATTTGTGTGACCTTTCCTGTAATGCAATAGGCTACAGTTGCTCTTGCAAACAGCACACAAGTGAAAAGAATTAAGACCATAAGTAGTCATGAGGCTCCAAAAAGCTATACGATGCCTCCCCTGAAATTCCTCAACAAGCCTCTGCAGTGTAGCATGGACCCCATATGTGTGAGAGACATTTATACACACACAATACACATGCACGAGAAACAGGCTGAGGATTAAACGGCTTGCACATACTACGCTGCCTTTCCTTCACTTCGCCTTCACTCATCCCAACACTTAAGTTTTGCTTCTTGACGCCTCAAGTTGGTTGTTAAAAATGCTGCTGGGGTCTCATCTACTTTGTAGAGTCATTAAGACAGTGTGACATACGGTGCTATTTAACTACAAACTGAAAACATCTTGTCATGACTCTGCACACACACAATAAAAAACTTTGCTTGAGAAAATGTTTTATGTAATGCCATTGCTAATTTGGAGATGGAAGACTGACAGTCGTGCAGCCCGTGAGGTATTTCAGCAAAGAGCAAACGGAGCTCCACAGGCGTGGGACAAAAAAGCATTTGGGGAAAAAAAAGTATTACTAAATGCACATGAAAAGATACTCGCTTTCCAAAAGCATCAAACCTAGTGTTTAAGCTGTGACTCTTCAACTACAAAAAACTATTCCACTTTAGTTTAAAGGTAGTCCCTTTAGTCATGTCCCATCTATTCTCGTCTGCTTGACTTCAGTAGAAGTATTAAAATATTTAAGTATGTGTGACTGTGATGTTTGTTAACATACATAGATCAAGTAATTTTATTAATAGAGGATTCTGGTAGCAATACTTATATTTAAGCCTTGCACCTTCTAGCATCAAAAATATCTAAATCTTTTTGAAAAATTCCACCAGTTTAGAGGGCTGTTTTCACCGTCTTATCAATTTACCAACTTTTAAGCTAGAAAAGAGCCTCTCTGTTGCTATGCTTACCCGCACTGCAGAATTAACTTGGGCACATCTATAGGTGTTGCCCCAAACCCTGTCTGCCATGTACCGGAATTAACTTTCCACTTAAGAGACATTGCCCGAAATCTCTTGTCTGCCACATAGAACTTCTTGCCAAGTTCTGACGATGCTTTCAATGCAGCCCCCTTTCTTGTTTGACACCATAAAATGAAACCCAAGAAAAACCATCACTCAGTTACCAGACTAATGAGCAGAACTAGTCAAGGATTTTTGTCAAAAAGCACTTGCAACTTTTTTCCTGTCAGATCCACCACAATCGAACAGTGAAATTGTATTGGTTTGAGTGAACTTCTGATAAAAAACAGGCAGGAGATCTGTGGTAAGCTAACAGGATACCTGCTTAGTTGCCTGACAGCTTGGCATGAAGTGAGTCTCAAGTGCTAGAGACTCCTGGACTTCCCGTGACTCCACCTGTCTGACGCAAAGCCAAAATCCCAAGTATCAGGTCCGTTAAGGACCTGGCTCCTAGCTACATCTTAGTGAGTCTGCATCTTGAGAGTGCTCTACTCAAGCTAGGGCTTCCCAGCTTTTCCAATGAGCTTCTTCTTGCACAGAACTGGAAATGTGGGAGAGATCGTTGTCTCCAGTTTTTCCTGAGTTCAAGCTCCTGTCTGGGAGGAGATGTCCCAATTCCTTGACTATTCTTACTCCCTCAGTGTCAGTCTTGAGCAAGGTGGCTGAGACACAATGTGAGAATGGGGTAAGAGCTGGGATTTCCAGGCTTCATTTTGCTGCAGTTGGCTAATTTCTCCAGGTTTCTCCCTTCCACAGGAGATTTTAAAATGACTGGGTTTCTTTCCAAAAACCAAGAATATCCCCCGCCAGCCGCACACGCTCATTCGCTGGAGTTTTGCGGAGCCTGGGAATTCTCAAGCGCTGCTTGGCTGCACCTGCAGCTCACCTCCTCGGCAGCCTGGCTAAACCACTCAAAAACTGCCAGCTACCAACAATGCTGCCGAGAATGACCCAGGTGTCAATCACCCGAGTTGACTTCACTGCCAAGACGCAGTAAACCTATACCGAGATCGCGTCGAGAACAACTTGCTGTCGACAAATCACGCTTCCTCTTTGCTCGCTTGCACCATCAGCAAAAAGCATTGGTCCCAAGCCAAAACAGCACCTCCACGTCAGCCGGAGAGCACCGTCCACACCTGCCCCGCGGCAGCACGTGCCCCACGGAATACTTCAGAGACAAGACGGCTGCCTGCTGCCACGGCTCTACGGACAGCCCGCAGTAGGACACGGCACCATGCTGTTTTCTTTTTTTTTTTTTTTTTTTAATGCCTTTCTGCCTTGGTTTGAGTGTGCTGTAGAGCGGCATATTTCCCCGCCCCGTGTGAGGCATCCTCAGTGTATGCAAGAAGGGGAAGGGAACAGGCTCTCCCTGGCGCTCAGCATGGAGGTGCACAGGGCTACCGGCGCCCATTTTTCCCTTCTAAAACAATAGCTTTTGTCCGTAGTCTAAAATGATGGGGCTCATTTTTTCTAATCCAAGGAAGCTTCTGGCTCGGAAGACGAGTTATGAAGCGGTAATAGCTATGCCAGCAAGTTAAAGAAACACCAGCCTTAAAAATACCTTGGGAAATTGTTCTAAAAGCTGTTAGCTAGGTTGCAAAGTAAAACATTAAACAAGCAGGAAATGCAGATTTAAACTCTGCCCAATGCTAATTTACAAGCTTTTTTTTTTTTTTTAATTCCTTAATCTGTGCAGTGAGATTACTCTTATCTCCAGGTCAGGAGAACATGATAAAGACAGAGTATTTGTGAAAAGCTTGGTGTTGTTACTGATGTGCTGCCTACCAGGGACCATGGAGCATCAAACTGCGCTCTGGGTGTCGAGCAAGGCTGTGGTTACCCAGCTGGAGCGGCCATGAGCAGCTCCTCGCTCCTTCTCCCTTCCCCAGCAGCACCCTGCGGAAGCGCAGGAACGCCCGGCTCAGCCACGCACCAGAGAGGCATGAGGGCAGGAACGAGCGGCCAAGGAAGAACGTGCCCGCTCGGGCTGGGGCTGCTTTCTCACAACACGAGGGCTGCCGCGGCCTGGCAGCCACCTCTCAGCCCCGCGGCCCCGGCGCGTCCGGGGTGCCGGCAGCCAGGCTGGCAGCCCGGCCCGTGGGCCACAGGGTGGGAGACAGCCCTGTGTGAGCACCTTTCTAGGCGAGCAGGCCCAGGGAGGAAGGGCGCTCGTAAATCACAGGAGGCCGCTGGCCCTGTTCATCTCCCGGCCCTAGCAAGAGCAGTTTCATACCAGCCTCTGAGGAGAGCTGAAGCCTTAAGAGAAATGACGCGGCACGTCATAAACCACGGCACAAAGCAGAGGTAACTGAGCTTCACAGCCAAGACAGAAAGAAATAAGAACCTCTTTCCTCAGTATTTGACCTCTGTTCATCCCATGCCCCAAACGAGACAGATCTTGTGGAAACAAACTGCCACACAATCGTGCAGTGAAGCCTGCACCGCCACGCGCACACATAAGACCATCTGAACTGGAATTGCACAAGCACCGTAAATTCTGGTGTTTCACAACTTGCAAGAACTTAGCTTTACCGACTGTTTATTATCCTTTAAATGAAACTTCTTCCTGCATATATCAATATAAAAATGTAAATTATTTTTTAGATTTAATATTGCATATTTTCCTAGAAATTGAGGTGTATCTGTTAGATGAAAGCTAATAGAATTGCTTTCTCCTCTGATAGTATTAACTATCCTTACATATGAAGTTTCAGTTGACTGCTAGGAAAGGCCTCTTAACATCTAGAATATAGGCAATCAGCTGTGCATTATTTAAAAAATAAAAAGAAATCAGAACACCAGCTTTCTACATGCTTTCTATACCTTTTGCTGTTTAGTATATGCTAGTTATAAATTGAATTCTATAATTGCTGCAAGCTATAGAGAGGAACAGTAATTCAGTCACGGATTAAAATTTTATTTTATTTATTTTGTTAAGAAATGGAAAAAGAAGGAAAGGGCAGATAAAAAGCAGCGGCAGCCTCCCACGTGGCAAAATGGGGCAGCGGAAAATCGGCTGGTTGCATTGAAGCTCTTTGAAGCATACAGGTAATCAAGGCTAATGGCACAGGACACCAGACTGTGCTTGCAGACAGCTAGCAAGTTTCTCACTCAAAATACGTTCCAAAATCGTGACTATACAAAATACCTTGTGGGTGGCTGAAATCGTTTGGCCTCGAGCCTCGGGACTGTCAGCTTGCACAAGCGTGGCACGCAGGATGCCCGGCACGGCTAATCTAATGGGTCAGCTAGTGCAGCCCCTGCGTCACACCAGCACTGACTAACGAGCAGCGACGGGCACACAACTCCAGCATGTAAATACGCGTGCAGATTGCACTGCTATCAGTCTGCTCGTCTGTTTTATCTGATACCTAGAGTTGCACACAGCAAGACTGGGGTCTGTTCTGGCAAACGAGACTGTCTAATCTTGCATTTTAAAGTCTTTCCAGAACAAAGAAAATGAATAAACAATATTGCAAGTTCCCCTCCATCCACTTCCTTTGGTATAGCTGCCGTATACTGAGTTTTAGCATTGGTTTTGTGCTCCACAATTGTTGCCACAAACCTCCTGTTTATGTTTGGTGTTTGTGTATTTGTTTTGTCTCCCTGCGCAGATTTCAGTGCTCTTTGGAAACCCCAAACAAATCTCTGACTGGGCTGCCTGTGAATGAAGCCTTTACTCCCACAGTGTTATGAAAGCAAACACAAGCCCAGGGTCAAGTGCTTCTTTTGTCCCAGTAGTTCTTTCCCACGAGTTCAATCCTGCCATTAGCATTGATTTCCACTCCTTTAATCTGGAAACGCCTATCACAGCTCGTCAAAGCACTTTTTTTTTGCAGAGATTTCCCCAAATATGAGAAAAAAAAAAGCAACATCTCCTTACCTTTACCTCCAGTCGCCTGAAGCATCTTCAGATGATCCACTGTCATTTGCAATATTTCCGCTTTTTCTAATTTGGCAGATCCCTTTGAGATAAGAGACTTGTATAAATAAAGGCTTACAAGTGGTAGAAACTTTAACTTGATTTACTTGCCGCTGAGATCAACCTTATGGTTTCAATTTCCCCGTATCGCTAGGACCTTCTCAGCTTAATTCCTTTGTGAGCATCTGCATCCCAGGCTTTGCCTAAGGCCCGATGCTCTCCGTGCCTGGTGACAGACGCACCAGCACGACGATCTTGCTCTATTAAGGCTATAGCTCAGAGTGACGCTGGCCTTGAAGTCTGCATAGATGCAAAGCCTTCACGAGCTGAAATAAACACGCAGCTTTCAGCAATCTCCCCCTAAACCCACAGGCAACCAAACGAAAAAGCAACCACGGCACGGCCAGCCTGCAGGGATACTGATAACGACCCTTCTGCAACTTTGCTTGCTGCTTTTACCGGTAGGTGTCCCTGTGGACACGTACCGAAAAGTATTCCCGTTTCTTAATAGCCCATTAATTTTTGACATGTCCTTTGGCGCCTGGATATTGTATTCGTGTTCCCTATTGAAAAAAAAAACAATCACACAGTCCACAGTTTCTCAAATTCTTGAGAGACCTCGTTTGCAGGGGGCTGAAGCTAAGCACTGTGAAAAGGAAAAGCTTAGCGTTGCCGTCAGCTAGACTCTTCCGCAACTACGGCTTGCTCAGCGTGCCCTAGGTGCGCAAAAAGTATTAAACGCGAGTCTGAAAGCAGCATTAATCTGTAAACAAAATGATTCTGTGTGGCGGCATTTCCTTGAGTATATGCTCAAATGGCATATATTTGTCATGCCCAAATGACCGAATTGAACTCCGAAATACTACTCCAGTGGAAGAGATAATCCATTGGCACCGGTTACAACAGGCTCCCTGGGGGCTATGCAGACTTGGGCCCCCGGGGGATCGCATCCTGCTCCAAGCGTCGCCTGCACAGCCCCCACAGCGCCGGCAGCTCGGGAAGCTCAGCTTGGCAAACAAGCCGGGAGCTACACCGTCCTCCGCAGCTCCACGATACACTCCTTAACTCCCCAGGAAGGAACCGTGGAGAGCAGAGCGAAGATTTGTGGAAAGGAAGCCGACCTGAAACCAGACCTCCCACTAGGAAACTTCAGGGAGCCAAATGTCACTTTGTCCCTCATGTATTACAGGAAAACCGGTGGGGTTTCTTGAACAAGCTACATCGCAAGCTCACTTTCATAGCAATATATGGTTTTTAAAATTCAGTTATTGCTTTCAGCATCTCCTTGTACGAATTTTGGTGCACTCATGAATTTCCGGGTAGAATTTTGTGCTTTACGTGCAATTACATCCTGCGCTTTCCTCAGCCTCAGTCTTTTCCATAGACACAGTACAAGGCGTCTCAGTGAGAGTGACTAATAGCTAAAAACTGCATGTTGCTGGGTAATTTCCAAGGACTTTGTAGGACTTGTTTTATAATGTTTGTGGTTTTCAAGAAGTAAACAATAAAATGGGACAAACAACTGTTGTCTCTTGTCCCTATTTCATCTAGCTGAAAATACCTCTGTCATTCTGCTTTGCCTGAACCTGTGGAATGGCAAAGTTAAGGCTATTAGTTATTAAAAGCATATTGCAGGCGGCAAAAGTGATGCTTTGACCATGCTTAAATTTTTTTTTAAAGAGGTTTAAAATTTCTATGCTTAAAATTTATTTTTGTCCAGCTTCTGTTCAAGTCAGCGATGTAACAGGCCCAATAATATGGTGCTAACCGTGTTTGGATACCACAGAAATTCAGCACCTTACCAAATGGGTTCTAAACTTTACTTTTTCTTTTTTTTCTTCTTTTTTTTTTTAATTTTTAATTACAAGGAGATTGACTTCTTAATATTCAGGTTTCTTTTACTGAAACTTACCGACAACCTTCAAATATATTCAGTAAAACAGGAACAATGTTTAATAATGAAGCAAAACCCAAGGAATAAAAATAAATATGTGAAAAAATAACTAAATCACTTAAATTCAATGGCATAAGCACAATAGACTTTTTACAGCACAGTTGCTAAGTCTTTGGTCAGCGATTTCATGACTACGGAGCTGAATCAAAGTTCACTAAGTCAGCTGTATCCTTCCAGCTTTCCCATTGAACACTTCCTCACTGAAAGTCTTTGAAAGTACCGCTCACTACCCCAGCTCACGGTGTAAGGTCTATTCCCACTCTTAACACGCTCTTTCTAAAATGTCAATTAAAAGCTTGAATAATCTAGATAGCCTAGTCTCTTCTTTAGCACTTTGGACTGCTGAGCACAAATGAAAAAATAAAGGTTCCTTAAAGAAGGGACGATGAAGGTTGTATTTAGACACAAGGATAATTGACATACAGGTTTGCTGTTGTTACTCTTTTTTTTAATATGGAGTAAAGCACATTTTTAATCAAAACCACTACTGGAATTCATCGAAAGAACAGAGACAACATGAGCACTGTTACCCTTAAGGGAAAAAACAAGCCAAAGAATGGAAATGTTTTTCAGCTTTATGATGAATTATGTTTCTAATAGTTTTGCCACAACAAAGCATTTTATTGAAATGCCTGCTTTGTGCCAGATCAGGACACATACAATATTATTTTAATGAGCTATACAAGAGAACTAACATTGCCAGATGAGATAGAGCATTAAAAAAAAAAAGAGAGGAAAAAAAAGGCTTACTTGTTTTTCAAAAGCAGTTGGCACAAGCCGCCTCAGCTCAGATAAACTGTTATTTATACGATCACGGCGCCTTTTCTCTATAATCTAGTCCCAAAAAAACAAAACATATTAAGTTTATAAAAAGCGCTGAAGGCCAAAATCACAGCACACATGCAAACTGTCACACGGGAAAAGAGTTGACGAGAACGTACCCCTCTCCTCTTCTTCCTGGCCATAATCTGCGACGTTGTCGTTGGGGAACTGGAGCGGAGCACAGAGCTGTTGCTTTGCCTGTGAAGCAAGGAGAGCGCGTGAGGCGCTGCGCGGCTGCTCGCGGCCCTGCGGAGGTGCCTCGCTCCGGTCACGGCAGCTCCGTGGGTGACGCGCTCGGCCTCACGCGGCGCTTGCCACAGCGAGGGACGTGGAATTCGCTTCGGGTTGCCCCACGCGCGCTGGCGGCTGCTCCGCTCAACACCGAGCACGCTGCTGAGGGCGCTTCGCTCAGCTGATATGGCTTTCACCACATAAATACATATCTATATATATATATACACAACTAGGGAACGTCTAGGAGAAGCAGTCTGAAGAATGGAGTCTCCCAAAATGTGAAGTATTTATGCATGGTAACAGCAATGGTAATTGTGTGTACACATACCACATAGTATATGGTATTATGCATACACATACAATGACACAGCCTCTGCCTGGCCTGCAAGGTTTTAACATCCCTGCCCATCATTGCAGTGGCCAATTTATGCTCATACAAGTATAACGCCAGTTACCCGGAGTAAATCAGCTCCACAGCTCCGTATCAGGAAAACTATTTCACGTGCACGTGTGGACCCGCTTTATCCGTGGGTACGGGATCGCTTTCACTCCCGAGGAGCGCGGGAGCCGGCGGCACCCCGGGGTCCCCCCGCCGGCTCCCA